ATTAATCCCTCTCAAAATACTCCGTCTTACTTACAAAGGACTTACCCCCCCCCCTTTTTTTTTAACGGAACCAGGGTATCCTATTCTTACCACTTTCTAAAGCAGTTCTTGCATTCCTAATTTGTCTTTTTTTTTTTTTCTGTCATCCTGTCTTGATGTCCTGAATCAACTGAAAAAAATTTATATTTTGTGGTTATTTTGTCTTTGAGGAGGAGCCAGAAATTGCAGTGCCAGAGTCAGTGGATGAATATACCATGTTTTTATGAGCCTGCTTTACTGTTGGATGACACTCAGCAGCAGTATTCAGTATTTTTTGTTGTGTCTCGTATAGCTACTCAAAAGAAAAGCTTCCAGGATTGCTTCCAAAAAAAAGCAAGAGAGGCTGGCATAGGGGCACATGTATATAAACCCAGCACTTGGGAGATTACTACAAGTTCGAAGCCATCCTGGGTTACATAGTGAATTGAAGGCCTACCCAGATAGCTCAGTGGATTGAAACGGCTGCTTAGGCAGATGCAGGCACCAGAGTTCGATCTCTGGCTGGATGTGCTGGTGCTGCACTGAGAGGGTGAATGAGACTAGGTGTGGTGGCGTGTGCATGTAATCCCAGTGCTTGGGAGGCTGAAAAACAGGAGGATCACTACAAGTTCAGTAGTTCAATCTTGTTATGGGTCACTCAGAATAGGAACCAGATTAGCCAGGTTGGAATTTGGAAAGCCGTTTATTACTGAGCTCAGGGCCCCCCAGTCTGCTCTCACGCAGGAGAGGACCAAAAGGCGGCGGCCCAGGAAGCAGGAAAGGGTTTTATACCCTGGAACCACTTTGAGTTTGATAAGCAAATTCATTGAATGACCACATTTAGTTTGGTAAACAAATTCATTGACACAAATGATGCTTTCAGAGTGATTGGCACCACAACTCAAACTACATTTCTGGGGCTTTTGTTTCAGTTTCTGGTTAATTTGCACCTGAGTACCTGCAGGCAGCCTTGCATAGCCCGGAGGTTACGAGAAGTTAAAGCCCATCTAATTTCCTTTTGAAGTCATCTCTGTAAGCTAACTTTGGTAACAGGAATTGGTGAGAGTTACAGGAATTTTAGCAAAGAGCTTAGCAAAGAGCAAGAAACAGACACTAGTTACTAAACAACTTAGAACAGTGGTGAGTGTACATTTACAACAGAAAGCACAAGATTTACATTTATAATCTAAAACGTGAGTTGACTCATTACAAATCTGTGCAGTGAGACCTGTAGATCCTGTACTAAATACATTAAGGTAAAAAAGAGAACAAATAATGGTCCAATAGACTGATGACCATGGAGCGTTTGGGGTTGGTTATACAGAGAGCTCTGGGTTTAGGAGATATAGATTGGTAAGACTGATCTGATGGGGTAAGTTTCTGTTTCTCTGAAATTGTGTCGCCTTGTAAGATTGAGTTACGTTCTGTTTTTCTAAGTAGGCTTTAGGTGTTTGTCGCTCAGAAATGATGTGTCCTGTCTATCTGAATCGGGAGCAGGATAGAGGTAGTGGGGGAGAAGTGCATTCTCTATTCACAATGTGTCTTTTACTAAAATAAATTGAAAATAAATACATTTAAGCATTCACTGTAAAAGTTGATCATGGCTTGTATATCCTGAAACTCCAGGCTTCTCTTAAATATTTCCTGTCCCAGTCCCAGAATTAGCCATTTTATGGTTTTTTGTTTGTTTGTTTTCTTGGTGGAACCAGGAATTGAACTCAGGCCCTTGCACTTGCCAGGCAAACGCTTATTCTACTGAGCCATCTCTCTGGCCCTAAAGAATTTGCCATTTTTGCAGAGGGCTCTGATCCATGCCTCTTCATTCACCTACCTGCCAGGTAACCTACAGTATACTAGAATGAGGTCCCTGCAGTTTGTATGCTAGAGTACCCTGTGTGACAGGCAGCTGCAAGACTGGTATAGACCTCCAGCTGCGCTTGGCTCTTTTTACTTGGGGTTCTGTTCCAAAGCAATAGGATCTTAATCCCTATAGATGTCTTACTGTCTTTCATTGCAGATTTCCTTTTCCTCAGTTCCTTGGTCCCTTTTGCGGGTGATAAGTACTGGAAAGGAGAAGAGTGTCCTTTTGGAGTCTCTTACATGACAGATTGTGTGTGTAACACAAAATTTACTGTCCGCCCTTTTTAAGTGCACATTTCAGTAGCGCTAAGTATTTTTACACTGTTATGCAACCAATTTCCAGGAATTTTTCATCTTGCGAAACTGAAACTTCTTTGAGCAGCTCATTTCCTCCTCACACTACTAAGAATTACTTTCCTTTCTCTTCATCCTTTAGCCACCACTCCTCAACTTGTGGGTTCTGTGTGTTTGTCTTCTTTCAATACTTCAAGTAAGTGAAGCCATATCGCATTTGTCTTTTTTTGTGCCTGATTTATTTCACTTAACATAATGCTCCTAAGGTTCCTCTGTGTCTTAGCATGATCTGTGTGCTTAAGTTGTAAGTCCCATGATTCCGACTCTTCCATCATCTCCTGACACCTCTGATTCTATAAACTGCTTATATTTTTTCTAATATAGGTTTCAAAATGTGATCTCACAATAGTTGTTACCCTTTCTGACTACAAATGTCTATAACGTGTCTATAATTTAAAATAGAAAATAATTTTTTCTGAAGAATCTATTCTTTCACTTCTCAGATATTTTGACTTATGGTGGGGCCGAAGGATAAGATTAGAGAGCCACAAAGGGGACATCATGGAAAGGTGTGATGACTTGAACGGAAGAAGGGACAGAGGGTCTCATACAGCTTTGTCAAAGGCAGAGGTGGAGTGATTCTGTTTCCATTCTTTTGGTAAAGGGCTAGTGAAAACTTGTATTTTTGAAAATTGTGCTAATATTGTGAAGTTTTATTTGAATTGTTAGATGCTTAAATGGTGTTTTTGTTCTCTATGATGTGTTTTCAGTTTTGTAAATGTCTCAGAATTTAATGGGCTTTTAAAAACTGCTAATTAGCCTGTAATTTCAGCACTCTGAAGGCTGAGGCCTGAGGATTAGCAGAACTTTGAGGCCAACCTGAGCTATGTAGAGACCCTGTCTCAAAACAAACAAACCTGTTCATTAGACTTTAAGGACTTTGCAGGTTTGAATGTTGCTGAACAATTTTACTTGGCTCTTTTTGAAACATTTACAAAAAACAAAACACAAAACCCCCCACATATTCCCTTCATCTAAATCTAATTAAGTATTTTGTGACCATTGATTTATTTATTTTATTTTATTTTATTTATTTTTTGCGGAACCGGGGATTGAACTCAGGGCCTTGTGCTTGCCAGGCAAGTGCTTATTCTACTGAGCCATCTCCCTGGCCCCTATTACCATTGATTTATAGTAGATATATGCACCAGTTTTCCAAATCACTTGACATCAAGAATACTCAAGGTGTTTAATGTTATGCATTATGATTTATCTAATGTGTAATTCTTATTTGTGTTTTTCCCATTTTTCCTATTTCATCCTGGATCCAGTCGTGCTCCATTGAGGAGTCCCAGTTTGGTTATTACAGCTCTAGTCTTTTTTAATCTGAACCATCTCCTTCCTTTTAGTTTTCTATGGTAACTTTTTTTTTTTAATTGTAGAACTGAGGAGTTAGATCTAGGGCCTTCACACAGAGCTACATCCCAGATCTATCTACTTTTTTTATATTTTTGAGGCAGGGTCTTGATAAATGGCCTGTGCTACACTTGAACTTGGTGTCTTCTTGCTTCAGCCTCCCAGAATTTGTGTGTGTGTGTATACATGTCTGGGTGTGTATATATGGCTGGGTTAACAGGTATGCATCACCAAGCCAAGCTTGGTGTTACCATTTTAAGGAGACTAGCCATTTGTTTTACAGGTTCATCTATAATCTGAATTTGTCTTATTTCCTAATGATTAAATTCTTGTTAAACCATGCCAAGTTTACTTTTAACTTTTGAAGACTTAACAAATATAACCATAGGAATAGAATGGGTTTTACAAAGGCTGTGTAAGTACAACCTCTAGTTTTTGTTTTTTTGGTTTTTTTTTTTTTTGCTTCTCGAATGTCTTCATGGCACTTTTGGCTAGCTGGAGTGTTGTGGGGATCGAACTACAGCAATCTGAGGCTGACAGCTTCAGATTGAAAGCAGCCACTTAAAGAACTTAGCTAGGGCCAGGGCCCCCAACCTCTAGTTATTGCCAAATACTAACAGCACTTGATTTTGCCATAAGTCAACATTACATTGAAAGGAATTTTAGATTTTTATTCTAGTAATTCACAAACTGCAGAAAACTGGCAGATTAGACGGTCTTTGAAATAGAAAGAGAACGCTGAATTCTGGGGCTAGGGAGATAGCTCAGTAAATTAAGTGCTTGCCAGGGCCTCCACCAAAAAAAAGAAAGAAAGAAAGAAAGAAAGAAAGAAAGAAAGAAAGAAAGAAAGAAAGAGAAGAATGCTGAATTCTGACACCTGTGTTAGTGTGTTTTCATGTTAAACCTAGTCTTTATTGTTCCTAGCCACTATTTAAATTACCTGTACTGCTCCTGAGGCTTTTGAACATATTTACAATCTCTTGTGTATAGCTAAAGAAATTTAGACTTAGTTTAATTACCCTGGAATTGAAATCTTTTAGGGGGTTGGCATTTGGTTTTTGAGACAGGGTCTTGCCCTATAGTCCAGGTTAGCTGTGAATTTGCTCTGTAGCCCCTTGAACTCTTAAATTCTCCTTCGTAAGGCTCTTGCATTCTGGGAGTAAGGCATGTGCCACCGTGCGTGGCTAACCAAAAAGATTTTAGGTCCTTTTGTGCTGCTACTAACTGAAGCTACAGCCTTATCCTTGCTAAGCATATGTGCTACCAGAAATACATCCCAGCCCAGAATAAACTTTTATCTTAAATAAAATGGATAGTCCAAACTGTTATTTTGTATATTCTATGCCATTTTAAGAATGTGAATTTTTTATATGCCTTTACTACTTTTCTTACTAGATTTTTTCTTTTTTTAGCTACAAGGCTTCGGCAGACCAAGTGTTTACCATGCTGCTATTGTCATCTTCCTTGAATTCTTTGCATGGGGCCTGTTGACAACTCCAATGTTGGCTGTAAGTATTACTAAACAGGCTCCTTAGCAACATTCGTGTGTGTGTGGGGGGGTGTGGGTGTGGGTGTGTGTGGGTGTATGTGTGTTTGATACAGGGTCTCATTATGCAGCTCGGACTCGAGGTGATTTTTCTGTTTTCAGCCTCCCCAGCACTGGGATTACAGGTATGCACCACCACACCTGCTCTTGGTGGCCAGCTCAGCTGGCCTAGAGACAGGGCTGGTGCGGCATGTGGTACCAGGGATCAACCCTGGACACTGTGCTTACCTAAACAGGTGCTTAGTCCACTGATCTGATGTGCCTGCCCAAAGAGTGACATTCTTAAGCATATTTCCCAGGTCTGTATATCTGAGGATATATTCGGGATAGGTCTTAGTGATTTAAGACAGCTTGTTCTCTTGGGTTATTTCTAGGATATTGTGAATCAGCTGCAACAGAATACTTTGTTATCCATTCCTGAGTAGCACTGCACCTTCACTGAACCAGAGTGGTAGGAGTACTGTTATACGAAGGAACTGCATATATTTAGGAAGGTCTTTTAGGTATACTATAGGAAATAATCACCAAGCATTGTTGAAGTTTATGTGTTTATATAGTTGCTAATGGCCTTGGACTTAAGGATATAGTATATAGGATATTAGTGAGTGCCTTGTAATAGTGAAAGTAAAAATTGTACAAAAATGTGTATATTTCTGGTTTTAGTAGGTTATGTATGACTATTTCTTAGACCCAGTATTAAATTTCTTAGCAAGAAGTTGGGTGTTTGGTGTACTTTATGCTTTGGAGGAAGTGCTGTGCTCCACCCACCCACCCCCAAACATGGGGAGCAGAGTTGAGATGCCTCATAACTATTTAACATTTAATTTTCACAGACACATTTTAAGTTCACTTTAAGTTTCAGTTATCTTAAATTTTTCTTTAAAAACAATTGATGGTTAATGCTTCCAGCCGCTTTTTGCTTCACCACAGAGGATCACTTTTCATACAGATAATCTTTGTTCCCCATTTAGGTTCAGAAAATACAGAACTAGAGAGAGTGGACATTAGCCAGTTAGCCTTACATGAGACTTGACAATATACCTTTTAAGATTTTTTAAGCCTTCTGGAACATTTAAAATGTAGAATTGATTAATTAAAGGTGTAACAGTTTGAGCAGTACACTTAAAAACATTTCCTGTCTAATTGTTTTTTATTCTTTCTTGTGCCACTACCTTTCCTGCACAGTGCTTTATTTATTTCAGTAATTGGTTGAGGAGTGGTGGCTTCCCATTTTAAATTCAAGAGATTTGACCTTCACTGTCTTCTCTGCCTACTTCTGCCTGGGACCCAGTCAGTGCTAAATACTGTATTGGAACAGATTCACTGGTCATGGAACACATAGATGTCCTCAAGTGAATGTTTCTCCAAGAAACATTTTTCCATGTGAATACAGACACTGGCTACTTTTTCTTTTTTTCATCTTTAAAAATTGTGTTAAAA